CACAGCAAATTTTGGGGGGGGGGCAAAGCTTTCTGGGGGGTTCACACCATTCCCCCATCGAATCCGCCAGCCAAAGCACCGTGAGATGACGTGCAGAGGATCTGGGGATGGCTTGGCTTCAAATCATTGACTTAATATTGTTTGGGAGGGTTTTTTATTTTTTTTCCCCACAGAGAAATTTAATTCCCACGGCAGGAATGCCCCATGCCCAGCCACCTCGGTCTCCCATGGGATTTCGTTTCCATCCCATCATCACGATACACAAAATGCAGCAGCCAACCCCCCCCCCAGGCTTTTATTTCTATGGTCCAAAATCCATCCCTCCCACACCGGGGTGGGGTTTTGCCAATCCCCAAGATAATTAGCAATATTAATGCTGATTTTTACATGGGAAATAATGTGAAATATTGCCTCCAGTAGCAGGCAGCTTGTAGCTGAAGGCAGCAAGGTTTGGTCCCCTTTACCAGGCTGGAAAGCAAGAGCTAGCGGGAACTCGGAGGGCACCAGCCCCATTTGAAGACCAACGTGTCCAGTGCCAACAATATTAATTGGTAAAATACCTGTTGAGCTGATGGCTCCCGTATTGCCAAGGCTAATTGAGCAACCACATCAATATTTGAAGAGCATCCTCGCTTCGTCCCTCAACCTATGTAGGATGAGGTTTTCTTGCTGGCAAGATGTGAGGTAACGGGGCAGAGAATTTTACCAGTGGTGACAGGCGAGCCCGCCATAATTAGGCTTTAATTGCCACCAGCTTGTAGACAATCCCAGGGTAATTACTGGGGCTGCAGCTCAGCAGGGGGGGAGCTGGGATTTGCTTGAAGGATATTTAGACCCTTCGGTCTCTTGTGTTCCCCTGCTAGGTTTATTGCATCTGAAAACAATAAACAGTGTTCAATAAAACTCCAGCAATAATAATGCATCCCAAATGTCTATTTTTACCATGCCCCCAAGACAGAATATTAAAAGAGGCTGCAAAAGCTTTGCTTCTCAGCATCTTCTCAGTCCCCAGCTCCCTCCTGCTGGTGATGGTGGGATGGGCTCGTTTTGGGGTGATGGCCTCCATCCCTGAGCATCCCCCCACGACCACAGCCTGGGGCAGCATCAACAGGGCCAAAAGCAGAAGAAAAGCCCTTGCAGAGATGCAAACCCAGCATCGGGGAGCTACTCCATCTCCACGTCTCCCACGTGAGCTGCCTTGCCCCGATCTCCACGCCAGAGGTCCTGGTGCTGTGGCTTGAGCTTCACCAAGGTTTGGGGAAACGATGGTGATCCCGAACACCAGTTGCGTCCACCCCGTAGGAATCTCAGGACGTCTAAGCGCACCGGTTGTGCATCCACGGCGCAGCTACGGGGTGCCTGCCTTGCCTACTCCCATCTCCTCGGGTAATTCATCTCCCAAGGGACCCCTTGGGTGGATCCAAAGACCAGCAAAGAACTTCCACTGGCCACCACAGCTCCAGTAGACAACGCGGTTTTAAAACCCACCAGAAAACACCACACTTTGGAAACACATTTGCTGCCTTAGCAGAATGCCACAAGCTTTCACTGGGTAGTTAGTCATTGCTAATGACTACACCCTGCCCTAATATTTAATTTACAAAGGATAAATTGCCAGTTAGATTAATTCAGCATGATGAGCGCCGAGTAATTTGGAGAAGAAAAGGAGGGGGGGAAATCCTGGCTGTTTGAGAATTGAATTTGTAACGAGCTCTGCCATCACCCAGTCCAAAGCTATTTGGAAATCACATCAATAAAATCATTTAGAAAATGCCCCATCCACAACAGTGAGGAACAGGACCATGTTCTTGCCCCACAAGTGCACGGGCAGAGGTTTTGCCATCCCAGGGTGGCCTTGCACCATCACGCCGCAGCCAAAATGCTCCCGAAAGGGTGATGAGGACAAAGCAGGAACCAGGCGAGCACGATCTATTAATAAAGGAGGAGCAGGGATGCCCTCGGCCAGGCTCGCAGCATCTGCTCGAGAGGGACAAGAATGGGGCGATTCATGCCCAGCACAAGCTGGCTTTGTCCTGCCAACCACCTCGGGCTCACCCTTTCTCAACCCGTAGCCTAGAAATGCTGTCTGGCTTTGCAAAGCCAGCCCCAGGACCTCAATAAATCCTTTAAAGGCTCCAGCCATAGATCCATCAAAATGCATCCCCCTGCCCTTTTCTCTTGGGGCAGGCAGGGACAGCCCTCATCCTGGGCTCCACATATCTCCCCTGCTCCCAGAGGAGATGGGTGATGGCCAGGCAGCATGCTTTCTAGTCTCCCAGGAGAAACAATTCCTCCAGCCAGAGCAGACAGATGGTGTGCAGAAGATGTGCTGCTTGGTCATCTGCCACAGCCCTCAAAAAGCCCGTTTTCAAGACAGGTTTGGGTTTTGTTTTGTTTTGTTTTTAATACCTGAAAAACAGGGAAGCTTCCCAGGTGACAGGATGGTCCCATCTGTTGTTTAACCATCTCCATTCTTGGACTGGCCTGGCTGGGTACATAAAACTGTGATGTTCCCTCACCCAGGGAGACCAAGCTTCTTGGCACAGAAAATGCTCTGGTACCGAAAAAAATTCATCCCTTTCCCTTAGCAACTTAAAACCTAGGGATGCAGAGAGACAGGGGACAGCCGACCACGCTGATCATCTCCAGATCCACTCCTACAGCAGCTCCCCAGCTCCTAAATCAATTCTGGCCCCAGATGTGCTCTGCTCAGGAGATGGATAGATCTGAAACAAGAGGGAAAGACTCCTCTAGCAGATTATCCCAGCTTTCTTACAATGTATTGCATTTTTGCAGAGAAATAAGAAGTGGCTGCATCCAGATGCTCTGCCTCTCCTTGCTGCTAAAAGGTGCCTGACCTGAATATTTATTAAATTGGATGAGCCGAACAAAGCCCCGGGCACCTCTTGATGATGCTACTTGCAATCCAGCCGGCTCTGGACTGCTCCATCACAGAGCAGTGCTGTGGCACACCGAGCAGCCCTGCAAACAACAAATCACTTCTGTTTCCCCCCCCTCCCGCCCATCAGCAAAAAAACCCTCTTGGAGCCCAGTGTGTTGAAAGAAGTAAATAACTGGGGTGGCCAGCAAGATGATTCCTGCAATTACATCCCTGGTTACTGGCTGGCCAGAAACCAGAGCCCTTTTTGGCAGCAAGAACTCATGAAGTTTTCAGAGGTTGGTGTCCAGCGAAGAAGATGCAGGGGAACTGATGGCTGGGTCGGCAGACCAAGCCTCTCTCTATACGCAGAAATCTATTTTTCCCACTGCTACGGGCAAGCTCTCACCAGGTGACGGTGTGATGACCATTTAAACAGAGTCAAGCAGCGAGGAAGTTGGTATCTCACTGAAAGAGGAAGAAAAACCTCACCAGAGCTGAAAAGTGGCAGCAAAGTCATCCAGGGTCTCACGAGGCTCCTCTGCTGGACCCTCCAGCTGCAGGAAGGCATTTACTGCCCTGCCACCACATTGGCAGAAGGAAGAGCAGTCTTATTTATGTTTTTTTTATGAGCACACTGAGGAATCCTTGCAAAACCTTGAGAAGCCTGTGTCAGGGAGGGGCTGCCCTTTTAAATGAGCTCATTTAAGCTGGATATATGACTAATTAGCAGGGTAGAGGTGACAGCTCTCAGGCTGGGGAATCAGGCAGCATGCACAGTCGTGTTTACCTCCACACAGCCTACAGCAGCTGGCTGGCCGGGAGGGGCAAGGACTCGGGTTAGTCATTTGAGTTATTTGGAGCAAGAAACCCCTCCCTGCCCCAGGAAAGCTGCAATCCCGCTCCCAGGGTTAAATCTGTAGAAATAAGTGAAGCTTTCTGAGGGCAGCAGGTTTCCTTGGAACACTCCAGCTGCCTACTCCCCCATTTGGGCTGACATTTGGTGGCAGGGGTTATCTTTTGGGTGGAGAAGATGGATCCACACAGATCCTCCTGCCCAAACCCCTCTGCTTGCTGCATCCCAGAGGCGCCCAGTCCGGTGCTATGACCCTGATAAAAAACAGCACACTAAGATGGGTTACTCAATCTTAATGTTTTAATTGACTTGAGCAGAAGACATGGTTTCCATAGCAATGGGCCACCAGCCCCAATTTGTACAAAATCGGAGTTAAAAAAAATAAAAGCACCAAAACCTTTAAAAAAAACCCAAAAATGGGCATTTATAAAAAATAAAAAAATACAAAAGCACCTCTGCCAGTTCACACTCTTCCTGCCTCCTGGAATTTCTTAAACAGAAGTTCATCAGCCCGAAGGGCGAAGGTCAAAGCCCGTTTCTGATAATACAGGGAGTCCATCACCAGGTTGTCAATCACATCTGCCAGGAGATGGGCTCTCTCAACGGAGCTGCCTGGGGCATCATAGCCCAGGGCAGTGAAATGCACGTGCAGGTGGTAGTAGGAGGGTTGGTAATGCAGGTAGATGCGCAACTGGGATCCAGGCACGCCAAAGTGCTTCACTACAGCCTCCTAAGGAGAAAAAAAGAAATTAAGACACAGGTCAGGACTAGCGACACGCCGCAAGGGCACGGGGCAGCTGGGGGCAGGCAGCACGTGGACAGACAGACCTTGCAATAGATAGAAAGGAGCATCCCCGGATGGCACGAAAGGCAGAGAGAAAGGGAGAAGTGATTTCTGCTTCCTCCATCCTCACAGCAAGGGAGAGGGGGACATTGGGAAGGACAGAACTCTTCCCTATCCTCCGTTTCAGCCTCCGCAGGGATGGAGTGATGCCTCCGGCTGCCCCACTTTTCTCCCTCCACGATGGGATGTGCTCTCTCCTCATATCGTTTTCCCTTCCACCCTTATCGCTTCGGCTCGCTCGGCAAGTTACGGGGATCCTGTTACCAGCCAGTGTAATTAAAACTATAAACAGCAAAGGCAAACTCCGGCATGTTGGCTTGGTCCGCTGCTCAGTGCACTGCAATCCCCTGACTAATCTCTTAATTAATCTCCGCTTTCCCCAGTGCAATTAACTTTCCAAATTTCTAGCACAGTGAAGGAAAGAAGCTATCACGCATTCATCTACCAAGCATGCCCCATCACAGGGCTGGAAAAAACTCATCAGCTGGTGAAAACGGTCAAGGAGTTGGGAAGGAAGTTACCAATATGGGGAGGATGGGGCTGAACTCCTGCCACTCACTACTAACGGAGAAATATCAAGCACCTCTGAAACACCTTGAACACAGCATGTCCTTCCAACGCCCCAGGGGAAGGTGCAGACAGAGCAGCAGGGACCAGGGTCTCCGGGCAGAGATGCTAGAGAGGGCAGCGCAGCCCTGGTTCGTGATGTATTGTCATCTCTTGGCTACTGGTCCCCACGCAGATGCTGGAGAATGCAGGCAGCGACCTTGCGGCCGGCAAGACGTGCTCTCCCTGGACAGGACAGCAGCGTCGGACAGTCTTGCGCTTACCTTCCCTTCTTGCAAGATGTTCCTCAGCAGCGGGATGTGCTCAGAGGTGAGGTCCCGAAGTGACTTGACCTCCCGGCGGTGAATGAGGGCTATCAGGTAGAGGTCATCCAGCTGAAGAGAGAGAGATGGTAGACGGTGACAGAGGTGACTGCAGAAAGAGCAGATGGAGGCACGAGCACTTTGGACCTGACACACCAACCACAGCTTTCCAGGCTGTGTTATAAGGGGCTACCTGCCGTCATGTTTAACACACACCCAAGCTGGGTTGAATCCAGTATGAATCTCCCAGTATGAGATGCGCTCATCCACAAACCCACTGCATCTCAAAGCAACGTTTCTGGACAAATTGGGTTTTGTCCAGGAATATGCAGAAGAGGACAGCTTCACCCCAACTGATAAACAGTGGGATCACAAATATCTTGTCAGCCTTAAAGGCAGATCAATTGATCAACTCTTTTCTACCATAAACACAGCACTTGCTGTTGCCCTTACATGTTCACAACGTCTCCCTGAGCACCTCCAAAACGTTGTCCCGGTCCAGACTGAGGCTGGCAGAAAAGGTGCGGGCACCCACCCTGCTGCGTGGGGGAAACTGAGGCCCGAGCCCAGGAGGCTGCAGGGTCTGCCAGCAACCCCCACGCGCAGATGCCACGCCAAGCACGGCCTTTTCTGCAGAGCAAGCAAAAGGTTTATCTCCACGCTCAGATGAGGATTTACAGTGAATCACAGTGGCCAAAACTGCAACTGTAGATTTTTCCCCGAGTGAAAAGCTTCCTATATTTCCACTGTGCAAATAGCCAGCCACTTTCCAGTTGCGCCAGTTCTATAAATAACTATTTTCAAGACCTAATCGGTCACTGGACAACCCCAGTGCAGTAAAATACGGCCATTCAGCAGCTCTCAGCCAGACCTTTGGCATGTCCCGAAGCACTTACCGAATTCAATGTTTAACAAGATGTACAGTCGTGGATCATTACACTTAAAAAAAAAAAACCAAACCCAAAACCCAAAAAAAACCCCCATCTCCTTCAGCTCAGTTAGTGGCTTTCTAATATAAACACTGCAAAGCAAAGGGTTTAGATATTTGAGACCCAGCAGATCTTTTCAAGGCTGTGAGAAACCCATCTGGCTATTTGGAAACAGATGCTTGTGCCAAAAGATGCTCTCAGAACCCTGTCTCGGGGCTCTCGAAACATGAAGCTGCTATTTGCACCCAGCCAGCACAGCGATGCTCGTGGTTCAGTTTGATTCCCAAAGCAGCCTGTGCACAGCTCCGGAAAAAGACAGCGTATCAGCTTGTTCTCTTTGGATCAGGGCTGGCTGGCGGGAGGAAAAGCAAACATCTCTTCTCCTTAGAACAACATCTGCATGTTGCTGTTTGAAACAAATAAGCCTGTTGCTAAAAAGGCCGTGAATGATGTCATGCCGGGCATCATTTCAGGCAACGCCTCAGGGCTCCTGCGGGTTTGAAACCAACTCAAAAGAAGTGGAGGAAAAAAAGAAACAAAACACCCTAACCCCCCCCTCCACAATATTTTTAAAAAATTAAAAAAAAAAAACCAAAAAAAAACCCCAACAAACCCCCAAAACCAACCAAAACCAAGAAACCAACTCAAACCACTATCAAGGCTGGGCAGCAGGAGCTGATGTGGCAGCCAGAAAAAGTTGAGGTCGGCAGCAAGCATGCAGACTTCACAATGCAAATGAGAAATCTTTCTCCCATCCATCAGCCTGAAAAAATTACAGGTGAATTCGCAGCATTTGCAGGCAAGGTGCTAAGCTAGTGCAAGGCAATGCCATTGAAGGGACTTCTAAGGGGAGGCTCAGAGAGTCCTGCTGGGAGCTCTGTCTCACTTCCCTAATTTAATTTAGTAGCCTTGCCTGTTTGGTGGGATGCGGCAGAAGGAACTGGTGCTTATGGGCAGCCCCGGGGCTGCTAGGATCAGGTCTGGCTCAGCGTCACCCACAGCCAAGAAGAAATTCCTTGGCTCAAAGGCAGAAGTCGACAGTCCTTGCTGGGATGCTGGCTAGCCTGCCTGGGAAAGAGACAGGCAAAGCAAGGCAAAGGTCCCAGATAACCCCGGGGATGACGGCTCTCTTGTTGCAGCCGTTGGGAAGAAATCAAGAAGATCCTGTTCAGCATACCAAGAGGCAACAGCAGCACGGGGAAACCTCCCCTAAAGACAAATCCTACCATTTAAGCACTCCCTGCCCATGCTAGCTGCAAGATGTGAATACAACAGGTCTCTAGAGAAAGCTAAAGCACATTTTTTAGCCTGCCTCCAATCCTGATGCGAGTCGCAAAGCTTGGTTGCGATGAGCGAGGATTTACACCGAGGCTTTGCTCGAAGCAAGGAAAGGGGCAGCGTGCTGCACTGTTTAGGATCCCTAAATATTGCCACCCTGAAAGTAAAGGGCACTGAACAAGGCATGGTAGCATAAGCATGACTGCAAGCTTGCCGTGTATCACCTGCTTTGCAAAGTCTCTCCAGGAAGAAAGTCATGCCTCCTGGTGAACAAGTGGAAATTCAAGCTTGGTTACCCCATCAAAGCTTGACAAGGGATTTCTGGAATAGCTGATGTGCAAGGAATTCACGGTGACCAGAGACTACCCTGCAGCAGGTTACTCACCTGTCCTCCCCAAGTCATTCTCACAGGCAACTCAGCACCAGACCAGGAATAGGTGTTCCCAGCACAGAAATACAGAATTGTGTTGCCCACAAGCAGGCTTGTGTTCCCCCTTTTTTTAGTTCCCATTTCTAAGTTTTAATTATACTGTAACTTTCCCCACCACAACCTGTGGAAGCATTTTGAGGATCAGAAACACAAAGGGGACTTTTTGACTCCACCAACTTCAAAGGGTGCACGTGTGGAGTTTCACCTCCCCAGGCACATCCCCAGAAGTACAGCACAAAAGGGAGCCGGAGCCCAAGGAAATAATGAGCCACTCAATTTAGGATTACAGCCTGGGCTTAAAAACCTCTGCGTTTCAATGAGTGGCCACTCCCACGCAGGGTTAAGCAGCTGCTCATAAGCTAACAACCATCTGTTTAATATTGCATGGAGGAGAGTTAATGGCAGCAATGAAAGGACAACACATCTGCCCAGTTTGTGCCTGAAGTTGAGGCTTGCAAAAAAAACCCAAACAAGTTCAGCAGGAACAAATACACAACTGGATTTAGGTTCAAATACATCACGACAACATTTGGGCTAATACAGGAAAGAGAAAGCGAAGCTAATAAATAAATCACCCTGCAGCAGTGAGAACAGCCTGTGTTCTGCAGCGTCCACAATTAGCACGTGATAAAAGGCCTGGCAATATCATCACTTAATGACAGTGTGAACAGGAAGGACACATTCCCCTACTAAAACTTTCATTAGCGTGCTATTAGTAGCACGAATGTGGACATTTCCTCTGGATTACCTTCAGATAGGCAGCATCCCTTCAAAGGTAAGAGGAGCAAACAAACCTGGTTTTGATTCCACTTAAAATCTGGAACTAGAACAAAGCCATTGCAAGGATCTGGGTTTTCATGGATGATTCGATCAGCCTCAGCTTTCTTCTCCAGGATATTATACACCCACTGAAAGAGAAATATGTGATTTATAAACCAGCAGATAAAAAAACTCCACACCTCAGGCACATTCAGCCCAAACTCATGGACTAGTGCACATTCCCCTCCAACTAGAATACAAAAAAAACCCCAATGACTTGATTTTAAGATGACCAAATAATTTCATAGCTGGTAACATTTGTAGTTAATTTTCCATAAAACACTCCAACAACAAACTCCAGGCTATTACGAGCACTTCAGTGAAAAGATACGCCCCCCACCCCACTGCATGGCACTGCACCACCAGCTAGCTAAATTATTCAGGGATTTTTGTTTTCCTCTCAAGCATTAAGAACTGGCCACAGCTGGAGATGAGGTATTGAACAGAGATGGTTTAGCCTAGTGTAGAAATAGTTGCATTTACCCCTAAGAGGATTTGGAGATAATTCTCCCCAATGGGGTCTAGCAATACTCCAACCAGACCTGGCTGCTTTACGCAGCCAGAGATGGAGCTGCTGCAAGCGCTAAATACCCAGAGGGGCAACAGCATCCCTCCTCCATGCTCCCACCAGCTGGCAATGGACAGGTACAGGCATTCAGACAGATCAGCCACCAGCACAAGCAACTCTGCGCAAACCAGACCCCAGCGAGGCAGGCAGCGGTAGAAGCCAGCTCTTGTGGGGCTCAGCAGATGCCCCTTGCAGCATCACGGGGCTGTTTGCACCTTTTTTAACTCCCAGGCTGCACCAAAACCTTTACAACTAGGTCTAGGAAGGGAACTTGGCTGATTTTTTTTTTCCCCTTTCAAAAAGGAAGGAGCAGATTGCTTGCAAGCCTGAGGTTGGATGCAGCTCCAGCTGCTGGCAGCCAGTGCTTGCAGGCGAATACGAAAGGCCCATGTTTTCTTGGGTAATGCACATCTCTTGGTTTCCTGGCTGATTAGAAAACAGCTCGCCACTCTCCTTCTTGTTCCATACTTAAAGCTTCATCCTCCAGACTGCCTGTAATGTCTGCTCTGGTTATCCCCCCGCATTGCTCCTTCAAAGCAAAGCACCATCCAGAGAAGAGTTTTGGCTACAAAATGGAAGATACTAGGGATAAGTGACAGAGTAAAACCAACAGAAAGCATCTTTGCTTTTCCTGGCTCCCAACCTGACCTCGAGCATCCTTCTTTACACCTCAAAAATGTACTCCACACTCTAGCTTAAGTACCGGACTGCCAAGGGAGTCCCCAGCCAGGTCCCTAGAAGATAAGACAAGGCAGCAGAAAACGGGTAGGGCTTGGGAGCTGAAAACGTCCTGAAACATCATTTTCCCCATCAAGTTAAGATATGAAACATTTTGATCGCACCAGGTGGGTAGTGAAGATGCAGCTAGTCTCACAGACACACTGAGCGAGCTGGGCCAGTGGATGCTGTGCACACCAGACACTCAAGATAAAAAGACAGCCCTATGGGGGAACTCTGACAAGTTTAATTAATCTAATCAAAACTTAGGATCATTGTGAACGGACCTGAATATATCCCTTAGGGAGAAACCAACCTCTCCTCCCTTGATCTAGTTTTTGCTTACATTTCTTCCTAGCAACAACGTCTTAGAGAAGATTAGATTCTAAAGCAGTTTTGGAAAGCACAGCACAAGATCGCTGTGCTCTGTGACCCTAGAAGAAAAGCAGAGCAGGAAGCTCAGCAGGAAACGAAAGTTTGCCCTTTTGGGGTTTTGTTTTTTTTTTTAATGCCTGCTTTCTTCACAAGTGCCAAGCTATCAGTGCCCTAAGGAAGTTCACCGATCAGATGAGCTGAATTTTAAACCCAACACTGCCTCATATCATAGGCAGGTCATCAGCTGACTGCTCTTGCTGTTTCCAGCACAAGCCCAGCGAGGACAAAACATGTCCAGAGACTGGCACCACAATAAAACTATTATACTGAAAGCATCCACGCTTTGCATCCTCCAGCAGAAAACAGAAATGCCTCTGTAGTCCCCCAATATTTCTGTTACACTTCCCATTTCCCCTTCCGCTCATCAAAATCAGTTAAAGACAAGAAACGGCATTATCAAATCACAGAGGTCAAGGACTGACTGTGCTGACCATGATTTATCAGCAGATGCTCCTGATGGTCACCAGGAACATGTTTCCATGTACAGAAATCAGCTTGCAAGCATTTTGTGGAAGAGGCAGAGAGCGAGAGCTCAAGCAACTTCTGGTGGCAGCTGCTACACCAGGAAACTTAACAGCCTCTGGAGCAAAAGCACGGAGAAAACATTCATGCAGGTTGCTGTCTGGTGGAAACACACTCTTGTCTTTTTCTCCAGCTAATAAATGCCCCCTGTATGTTACTGGTGTTGCAGCCCGGCTGCCGGCGAGAAAGCTGAACAATGGAGCAAAGAAAAGCAGGCAGGCAAGGAGTAATGGAGCACGCACTGCAGCTTGCAAGGTGCCTTCTGGTACAAGTCGCAGAAAGCAGGATTCACCTTCATCTGCAAGCAATTAGAAAACGGACATTGCAACAGTGAACCCTGTTAACTGTTCTGCTGCTGTTTACAGCGGCAGGAAAGAGGTGTGGGGGATACCCAAGGCCTGCGGTTGGTTGGTTTTTGTAGTTTATTTTTAACAGAAAGCCTCAGCAGACCCAGGATTTGCTTTATTCCCCCATTCTGCACAGGCTGGCATAAACTGGTCCCTACAGACTTGCATTCCTTTGGTCTCTAAAGGAGAAAGATAGGGAGAAGAATGGTCAAAAGGCATGTAAAACAGCAAAAAAGTCCACTGCTGCCTGGGGCAAGAAGGATGCTAAAAGTACAGCTTCACTATGCGGAACACAGACCAAAGGGCCTAATGGCAGAGGAGCTGTAGGCAAAGCCCGAGGAGTGAGTTGCAATGCAGGAATCCAAGAGCAATCTGAGCCTTCCCATTTCCACAACACCCAAGAGACTCCTAAAAAGCCTAGTGAACAGCACCAACGCCCAGGGACCCACCCTCAGAAAGGAGGAAGAACACCCCAGCACAGCCAGTCTCCATAAACCTTGGGAAAGGCAACTTTGGGTACATCTCCAAGGCAAGTGTTTTTCTGCAAAGATAGAGAAGGATGCCCCAGAGGACAGAAAGACGGGGACGCCGGGGAAGTTTAGGGGAAAGAGAGCCCTGTTTAGTATCACTGAGCTTACCCCAAAGGTCAAACAGCCTCAAGAAAGCACAATAGATAAGGGGATGCGTTCAGCAAAGCAGGCAGTATCACAACCCAGGACCAGCAAAAATAATCTGCAGCCGGTCGTGTTTGAGAAATGGGCTGCCCAGCCAGATGAGAGGGTGCAGTACCACGGAGCTGACAACATGCTGATGGAACAACCAACAGGGAGACAGAGGCAAAGTGCTCCTGACTCTTCTGCCTCCAACCTGGGCTTCGGAGGAGACATTTGACAGCCCAGCATGTTGATGAAGGAGACCAAAGACATCTGTCTCTGCAGAGGGTAAGCAGTGGTGCCCATACCTGGATGCTGAAGCTCTGGGACTGGATGAAGGGCAGCGTTATGTTCTTGTAATCCTCCCAGGTTTCACGGATGAGGTGCACTTCTTGACGAAGGTATTTCTGAAGGTGTTTCTCCGTGGCGGGGTACACTACTGTCGTTTTTATCTCTAGAAATAAACACATTTACTGAGTTATCACAGATGAAACCCACATTACTTCCTTCAGTCCCTGATAAATCTGTTTTCCCTTCCAATAATTGCCACACTAACACATATTGAAAAGATACCACTAAAATAGCAGGGTAGGGGAGAATGGACATGGAAAGCAAACAAGTGCTTTAACCTCCCAGGTTGCTGCTGCTTTTCTCGAAGAAGGATAACCCGATAACACAGCCAGGGCCTGTCCTTCCAGTTCAGATGGAGGAGTTTCCTGTCTGAAGGGGTTTTTTTCCCCACACTCACTTTCAGGCATATCAGCAACATCGGTGCAGAGCTGGGGCTCCCAGGGAAGAGTTCATGTGCAGTCAACAACCAGGAGAGAAACACAACCCTGGGGGCAGACACATATCTTACTCATACTTAAATCTGAAGCTCATGGGACGTTATCGAGCGAGCACCCAACAACTTTCTCCAGCCATGAAACCAGACGTCGCATGAGCCACAAGCAGCAGGGCCAGCATGAGCAGCAGCTCCTTCCCAGCTCCTCTGAGCCATCAGGATGCTGGGCCTCGACCCCCAAGTACAGGAGACAAAGAGGTCAAGGGCACAGGGATGAATCCAGAGCAAACAATGCTGGCTGATGGGTTAACACAGCACAGGACAAGCTGAAGGAAGAGGGCTGGGCGATTCCCCTGCACCAGCCAACAAAGAAAGAGCATTTAGCTGCTTGCTCTAGCAAAAGGAAAATAATTTCTGTTTACCTTGAGGTTAAAACTTTGCTGCGTAATTTCTGTGGCATTAAACAGGATGCAAACGTGCATTTCGCCAACCTGGCAGCTTTGACCTTGGCAACAGTAAATCTTACCCACAGCAGTAAAACAGTTGGAAAATAACTGTTTTCGGCTGAGATTAGATGCGCGATACGGAGCCTGCCACAACTCTGAGGGCACCAGCGGTGCCTCCACCTTCCCAGCTGACAGAGAGCTGCTATAAAACTTAACACAGGAAGGAGAAAAAAACCTGTGAGCCTGGACAAACCCTGAGCAGATGACACCAAAGCAAGCGGCTGGGGCACTGCAAACACTGCAGCTTGTGCCCAAGGTCTGCCATGGTCACAAAAGCCATGGGCTGTACACTCACCAGGGTACCAAACAGTCATGCTTCACACTTTATATATGTATATATGCTAGCCAGACACTGAATATAAATAACTATTTGTTCCTAAAGCCAGGATTTAGGGTGCAGGGTTGGTTATTTTTTCTGGTTTCTTTCTTTTTTGTTGTTGGATTTTGGTTGGTTGTTTTTTTTCTGGGGGTTTTCGGGGGGGGGGGGTGTTTGGGATTTTTTTGTGTGGTTTTGGGGTTTCTGGGGGGGGTGTTTTTGGGGGGTTTTTTTTGTTTTTCTGGGTTTTTTTGTTTTGTTTTTTTTAAGATCAGCGCTGCACAAGCTGGGAGACTCTGCCTTTTCATTTCATGCCAAACCCAGCTTAATGAAATCCACAGGAAAATGCTGGTAACATGAAATATGAAAATGCAAACCACAAGGGCAGTCTGGTCTGATTCCCACCATACACATGTTCAAACAAGGTTGTTTTCCAGGACTGAATTAGCACTCCTAGTGGGATGATGTAATAGCAAAAAAAAAAAAAAAGACAAGGCTGTAGCTCCTCCGCTCCTCACTTAAAAAGAACAGGAAAGCACTGGGGAGAAAACAAAAAAGCAAAAGATAAGGAAATACTATTCCAGCCTCAGGCTGACACTTCCACATTTTAACTTTATACCCCAAAACAAGAGCAGGGACCGCAGCAGAAACCCCTCCATGCCGGGGGTGGTGATCACCACAATCCGTGCACTGGCTGGGATGGGGTTGCAGGACCCTTCATGGCTTCCCCAGCACCTCTCCAGTTTGGGGAGTGGCTGCTGATGGTGGAGAGAGCACTTAAGATACTTTAAAGCCTAGCGTAAGATCAGAGAAATCCTTAATGTGCAGCTGCGGTTGAGCAGCAGATGTTTGGAAGAGGAGGGGGGAGACTGTGGTTCACTAATGATTATTTCCCTTCTAGAGATCTCATCAACCCTGAAACGCCCCAGCAATGCTAATTAGCATAAATCAATACAACCAGAGAAGCTGTTTGATAAATGTTCAGAGCCTGACTATCTTCAGGAGCCCGTGCAGGGGATGCAAAGTCACAGCTAAGGCTGGGCTCGGCCGCAGGAAACATCCACGCAAGACCAGGCTCGCCACAAAGTCTTTCCATTGCTGGCGACTGGCCGCGTTCATGCTCCATTTTAAAAGCCGCCCTGCTCCTGGCAGGTTCCATGAGCATTAAAGCATCACGTACGCCATGAGGCAGCCGAAACCTACCCTGGCCTGGAATTGGGGCTAAAGAACCGCTGGACACGTGATGGTGGGTTTTTAAACTCGCTGAAGGGTCAGGGATTGTCTCCGCTTGCGTCTGAGTCACATCAGCCAGCATGTTCCTGAACACCAGCCCAGGAATGCCAAGAAATGCCTGTGGTTTACTCTGGAAGTCAGGACTGACCATCAATTAACTGGAGGTTATAAAAAAGGAGGTTTAATTGAAGGATCCCGGATAAGCAGGAGGCAGAGGTACTGCGATGGCAGAGAACAACCGATCAGGCAGTTCACCCTACGAAGGGTGTTTGAGGGGATACATTGCACCGTTGCCTCCCTGCCCAGGAGAAAAGGAAGCTTGGATCGACCAGAAACAGAATGATTTCTCCCCTCTCCTGCTAAAAACAAGAGCAAAGAAACAACCCAAGTCACAAAAAATGAAACAGCACCTCAGTTTGGGGAACTTATAGAGAAAAGGGCTGAAAGCAGCTGTCACCAAGAGGAGAGGATAAAACACATTACCCCATGCTCCCTGCAGTGCAAGACAGCTACCTGTCGCAGATGGGAAGGAGGAAGAGAGCGCTCGTGCCCGTAGGAAAGTACGCTACAGGCTCACTAGCGATGCCTCGTCCCCTTTCGCACTGCGCTGTCCCCAGGCTCTGCCAAAATCCCCCTCCAGCTTGGCACATCAAATTTCAAACTGATGCAAATGGCGTTGCCACTCATCCCACTCAGCAACATTAAAATGGACCACTGTAGTTTTGTTTTAAATAGATTTAAACATGCCGGGGAGCCGAAAGAGGCACGCAGGTCAGGAACAACCCGTCTCTACTTTTGGGCAGGAATGCTTTTTCCTCCCTTTGCTAGTAGGAAGCCGAGCTTTGGCTTGTAATCTGCCTAGTCAACTCAACTGTCAGGTGCAGGAAGATGCCAAGCCCAGGAAACAGAAGACAAAGTCACATTTGGAGCTCTTTCAAGTTTTCTTTTCCTCTGCAAGCCTCTGTCCTGCTGCATACAGCTCTGCGCTGTCTTCCCATTTTCAGGTATCTCCTTCGACGCAGCCCTAACTAAATATAACGACGCACAACCCCACCTTCTCCTGCTGTATTAACATAGTTTATTTAGTTTTATGATCACAACTGCACAGCAGTCACAGGGGAACACCAAATTTTAACCCACCCCCAACCAGATACAATCACGGCTTTGCCTCAGACATCTCGGGCTCTCATTACTGAACAAAATAAAAGCACAAAAGAAAAGGATAAAGCTTGCAAGAGCTCACAATCTCCAAGGCCAGCACATGCCAGGGCAAGCCAAGCGTGCTGCTGGAGACTTCTGCCATGGCTCTCTGGCCCCTGGTTCTCACCCAGGGAGGACTCGGTGGGCTCTAGCTGCAACAGCCACAGCAAAGAGGAAATTTGCAGCTTTCCAACTCCCAAAAACCAGAGCAAAGCATGGCGATACCTCCCACTGTCCCACAAACCACCCCATGCACTCCTACTGCTTCAGGCTCCAGCTTTTTCTTTAAAGTGTAAATGCAAAGAGTTTTCTTCGCTGGGCAAGCCCCACACGCAGGCGGAGTGTGGAAATGCTGGGAGACGAACCAGCCTTCCCAGAGCAGCTTGTGCAAGTTTCTCCAGCTCCTCACTGCCTGAAACCAGATGCTTTTTGGGCTCAGGAAGGCAAGGATATGTATCACTTCCTGCATGACTGAATACTTTCCTTCCACGCTCTCCTATTTCTCCCACAATTTCTCCACCCTGTGTTGGAGAGAGAGAGCCGGAGCATCTCCCGATGTGCTCGTTTTCAGACGTTTTTAATAAGCTTCAACATGCAGCACAGGGATGAGGCATGCCCAGTGAGTAAAGACTCCTTAAAGGACTGATAAGAGCCCTTAAATTACACCAGCACAGCTTTGGTGCTGTGAAACACAACATCCCTCAGCAGCCAGGCAAGAGGAGGCTGCTTTTTGCTGGAAACAGCAAGCTCTCCTTGCTAAACGGGTGTGAGCACCACCAGGAGCTGGATGTTATCGGGGAACATGTTGATTGAACCATCTGGCTTTTGCAATTGAGCCTTTGGCAGCAGGAAAATCTTTCCCCTGCTATGAAAGCAGCCCTTCCTCTCCCTGCAAGGGAGAGTCCCAGAACTGGGGTTTCCTCCACCAGTATCTCACACCTCTAGGCATAAGCTGCCTCTTAAATCTAGGTAACATCAAACAACTGGCCTTAAAATAAGTTACGCATGCCTGCCTTCGCCAGTAGCAGAGCAGTTACTCTCAGAGGGCATGCTCTCTGACACTGCTCCTCCTAGCAAACTCATTCACAAACTTCCTTCTCCTTACTCGGATGGTTTGGGTTGCCCTTTAGGCAAACTCTGACTGTTATTAAACTGTTTTGCAAATGTTATTTCCCATTTTAGCCTTGACACATCTCTCCTAGTGGCCAGTAAAACTGACAAGCCAAGCAAGACACAGATGAGGTCCTCTTTCTGACCAGCACCATCTTCATACATCCCAACAGCAGTGCACTCCCAGCCCTAAAAAATCTCATCTTTAAGCAGCAGCAGAGTGAAATTCCTCTTCCCAGGAGAGAGGGGAGTCATTTGCTCAGGTAATGTGCTTCTTTTGGCCTCCCTTTCTCTGCCTTCACCACGCAAACAAAGTGTGACTGGCCCAGCCTCGCAGGCTCTTTTACCACCAAGACAAAACAAGCTTTCATCGCATGGGGCCTGTGTTAGCTTGACTCCGCAGCAGGAACAGCATCCAACTCACATAAACGAGGAGGCGGGGAGAGGGTGAAGAAAATACTCACTTTCAGCTATCAAGAAACTCCACCTGAATGAAGAGTCCCCCGGGGACTTCAGACCACAAAGGTGGCATTGAGAAACACACTTCAAAAAAAGCAGAGGGAGCTAGAGGCAGCTCCTCACGCCATCAACGCGAGTCACTTGCAGTCCTGATTTCCTCAGTCTGGAGGTTTATCCTACCTTCAGCCTACCTTCATAAAGTGAGAAGCTGAGTTCTGGGGGGCTTAGCCACCTGGGATGCTGTGAAATCCCCAGGGTGAATTCCTCTTCTGCATAACACTGTGACCCAGGGCTTTTTGGAGGAACTGCTTAATGCCAAAGTCTAACCTTTTCTGCAAAATACTTTTACTGCATCGTGTTAACCAGGTGTAAACCTGCAAGTGCCAGGAGATAAAACCCTGTATCTCTCTAACCCTGCAACCAAGAGGCTGGGTCTCCACATGATCACTTGACGTCCTGGCATTTCTCACAAGCCCTGACATTGTCTGCAGCCTTACAGGAAATTTCTCCTTTGTGTTAGGTTTATGAGCTGCATTCCTTGTACTGACTCCCTCCTTGGGCCATGACTGAGCTCAAAAGGACAATTTCCTTCCCCTCCTGACATACATGACATTTCCTGTAGTGCCAGCCCAGCTGCCTGCCAGCAGCTCACACAACACACCCACAAAAAACAGCTATTCGGCGACAAATTGCTTCAAAGAAAGAAGCCTCCTTGCTCACTGCTCAGAGCCGGGGAGCCTGAAGAGCAGCACTGGGGTCCACAGCCCCCTCCTGATCTGCTGCTTGGGGCTGCCCAACATCCAGAGCAAGCACAGCAATGCCAAGGAGAGGGGTGGGAAGCAAAGATGCACCACTGGGTAATGTTTCTGCAAAAACCTACCTTCTCAAGGCAATTTTAAAAGTAATTAAAAAGATAAACTTCAGCAGAGGGAAGCAAGAGGCTTTTTTCCCATTCAAACCCCCAAGAGAAACTGCACAAACACTCATCCAGAAGCAGCAGGTTTGGTCCAGCCATACATGAACAAACAGCATGGCTACGTGGGGCAGAGTCACAGCACAGAGGACACACCAAACAGAAACAACCTGAGCGAGGATTTAGTTTAATGAAGCTCCAGAAACAGGACATGAGAAGACCCAGATTCACCTGGTTTTGTGCCAGTCTCTCAGAAAAAACAGGACCTCGCACAGCACTGACAGAGACTGGCAACCCTTTAACAGCCTTTTCACCCTAGTGTGGGGTTTCGCACCTGGCATAAATCTTAAATAAAATAAAAAATTTTGCTATCAGAATAATGCTGGAGTTACACATCGCTGCAGCAAAGCTGTACAAGGAAGTCAAATGCCAGCACCACTGGCAGGGCTGCAGCTGGAGAGAGGCCCAGGGGATTTTAGTCTTGCAATGCCACCTCGTGGGAATCGCTGCCAGTCACTGCAGGAGTTGGAATGCAGCAGGCACCCAAGCAGGAGTCTTCCCGGTTGCCGAAGCATAGCCTTAACATCTTCCCACGCAAGGCATCCACAACAACCATGGTGTCGCGGTGTTTTCCCACCATTGAAATGTGGCATTGCAACGCTGAAACCTCTGATTTCAAGTCCTCAACAGGACAAGAGGAGCTTTGCACAAATCGCAAGCTCCCAAAGCCAGACAGTGCTTCTTCCTACACCATGGAAACAGCACTAAAATAGGAGCATTTTCGGGAAGGCACATCAAACATTCTGAAAATTTAATTCGGGACTGCAACAACTTCTTACTTAAGGCTATCACTCCAATTAATTTTGACTCTGTTAAGCCTGTTTGGCTATCGTTGTGTTTCTGGAAGCGTCAACACATAATTAATCACCACACTTCCAGAATTTAAACACATACCAGCATTAAATCAAAGTGCCTGGCCTGCCAAAAGAGCAGCCCTGCTTTCCAGCAGCAGCTGCAGAGTGCCACAATCACAGGACACCTTTCCACCATGACAAGAATCTGTCTTGCAGGATGACAGCCTTCCACGGAAGCTCTCCAACCTGCTCATCTAACCTCATCATACTCAGTTATTAATAGGGTTTTGTAACACATGGATGCATGAAATCAGCGGGGAGAGGCTTGAAAGGCAGAGGCTGGGTGCCCATCTGCCCCAGGCACTTGACATTACCAGAATTTAAATCCCCCCTGCAAACATGCTAGCTGTTTGTCCTTACCAGGTGACATCAGGCAACAAAAATAAAGAGATGATACCCTGGAATGAGAAGAAGCTGATGTGCTCTGCAGAGATTGTTTTCAAGGTAGACCTTACAGGGAGAGACAATATCTGAACTGTCATCACTGAAAAAAGCCACAAGGAAAGCTTTCAGACCCACAAGCCCTTCTTCACCTTTAAATCAAGGCACAGGCAGATGATTGCAAGTAATCAAGCGATGGCCATTTAATGGCCAGCCACTTATCAGCTGAGCTAGGTGTCCGACAGTGCAGGGAAAAGGGGGTGAAATGAGGCAGCATGCAAAGCCTCAGGAGTAAGACGCTGCCTTCAGAGTGGCAACAATCCACCGTTCTCCCCACCTCAGCCAGGTCTGCTGCTGTCAGCCAAACCACGACCGGGTTGGCATGGTCAGATCCGGCACCAGCGCTTGCCTGTCTTGCTGCAACCTCCCCTCCAGAGCTGGCAGAAGCACACTGACTGGCATCCCAGCTATGACCACTGGTCCGCAGCTGAGCCATGGAGCAAGCCACCCTCCCGGGACACCCCCATGTGAGGCTGAGAGTGCTTACCACTCAGCTCCGCGGGAGGATAGAGATGGTACGTGCTGTAAATGTCATTGCGCATCTGCAGGTCCAGCTTCGTGTGCTTCTTCAGCAGGTCTGATACCTTCTCCTCCTGGAAAGGAGTCTTTTCCAGGATGACTACGGCATCTGTTCCCTCTCCGGAGGGGCTGGTCAGCTGGAATAAGAACAGATAAAGCTGTCAGCAAACACAGACCCAGGGCTGGCTGGAGATTTTGAGGCCAGGACCTGAACGCCTCCACCCAGGGACCACAGCAGACACCTTGCAGCCCCTCAATCCTTGTGCATAAACTCCCTCCTAGTCCAGCCACCCACAGGGCAGCACCCATCCAAAAATAAAAGGCACATTTGCCCTGAAGCACGGCAGGAAGCTGCTCCCCATCAGGGAACACGAGTGGGTTTTTTGGAGGAGCACAGGATGTGGACAATGTCTCAGCCCATCTGCTCGTCCCTGGATGCTCCCAGCACCTGCATTCCCGCTGACCCACATCACCGATTTCATCTCAGATACTCGCAAGTTGACATGGGGCCACTGACCGGGCAGTCGTAGGGTCAGGAAGAGGGCAGAGGCAGGCACAGGGGTTTGCATCATGGTCAGGGAGCAAACCTAGTCTGTTCTGGGGCAGGGAGCACCACTGCCCTGGTCCAAGGAACCACAACCCAGATCCAGATGTGGCCTGGACATACTGGTTTTGGGAAGCACCGGGTGTGGAGCACATCCCTAAATCGCTCCCGTCTGTACAGGACCCAGGCGAAGCCTCACTGAACACCGCCTGGGGAGAGAGCAAAGGGATCCACCCGGGGCTCCCAACCCAGCCACGCTCACAGGGCAGAGCGGGCAGGTCTGCGCCCGCTTCAGTGACCCACTGACCATCACCCCACTGCCCCGAGAGCAAAGCAGCGGCCTGAAAACCTCCCTGTCCTCACTGCCTGCTCGGACGCACATCTCCAGGGGACAGAAGCCAAGGCGGCTGCGCTGCTCCCATGCCACGCTCAGCCCCTCTGGCCATAAAGGCTTCCAGCTGATAGCATATTTCCATACATTCTGTATGGTATGTCTAAATATTTTGATGGTTTTAATATTTTGTACCAGCTGTGGAAACTGGTTTGCTGCTAGGTGACTGTAAAAGTGAGAGTTGGTAAATAATTATTAGAAATCTTATACTAACACTATGATTGAAACAACAGACAAAAGTGTAGCCAAGCAATTAACTAGTAGAGGTAGTTACTCATAAGTTTTGCAGTTCTTTGCTCTTATGACTAGATGTTCCTGTACACTAGATGAAAACAATGTTGAGACTGAACACATATGATTGAAACTGTGTTAAGCTTCAAGATCAAAGAACAAGGACAAAAATAAAGACTTCAGGGACAGCCAGCAAGAACTTCCAATGGGTCGGTGGTTGCAAAAGCAGCCCTTCGACTCAAATGGTTCCTTTATTGCACATGATCGGACGTAGGCAGTATTATGATAATCAGTTGCAATCATTTTTGTATATGTATACTAATCTGATTAATATGCAATTAGTTATTCTATATAACTTATTAGTGCTAAAGCTGTGGTAGGCACGCTAGGTGGAACTGTCCCCCGTGCATCCAGCGCTGCAATAAAGAATACCTGCTTTCTAAAAATCCCAAACGAGTCTTAGGGAGTTTCTTCAACCGGCTTTTCGGTATCACAGCCTGCTGCCCCCCCACACTTTACCGGATTTGAGCAGCACCGGGCTGGAAAAGCGGATCCGGGGCTACACTTTGTTGAATAAAGAAGGGATGAGGCCGGGCCGTAGCCCTGCGGAGAGGAGGGGACCGGGGGGGGGAACGAGACCAAGGGAGCCCCCGGCCACGTTGAACCCGGCCGCGCCATGCGGCCTCGGTGGGGGCGTGGCTTGTTGGCGGGGGCGTGGCCTGACAGGAGGTTGCCGCCGCAGGGGCGCGGCTAGCGCCTCAGCAGGGAAAATGGCGGCTGGCCTGCCCGGGCCTGCCCCCCCCTCCCCCCACCCCGGCCCCGGTCCCGGTCCGGTACCTCCCCGTGCAGGAACACAGCCTTGTCCCTCGCCGACTCCCGCAGCACACGCCGCAGACGCAGCTCCGCCAGGGGGAAGGGGGCGGTGACGGTCCCGCCGTGGGGCGCGGCCCCGGCCTCCTCCTCCCGCTTCCTCTTCGGCCGCGGGCCCTCCGCCATCGCGCCCCTTCCCCTCACTGCGCCTGCGCGGCGGCGGCGCCGCCGCCAAGAGAGGCGCGGACGCCGGGCGGCCATCGCGCCCCCTGGCGGCTTGGCGGTGCAGCAGGGATACACGCCCCCCCCCCCCCAAACCCCGGTCCCCTTGGGGCACAAGGAGGGTCAGGGGATCGACCCCAGCCCCACCTAAAAGCTGCCTCTCCCCCACCTCACAGGAGCCCACACAGGGGTCAGGGATCAACACCCCCCCAGTTTGGGGTCTCTTACTCCCCACAGCTCCTTCCCGACACAAACCCACAAGCCAGGGGAATATTTAAAAAAAACAAAAAAAAAGAAAAGAAAAACACAACCCAAAATTTAAACCTTCTGCATTTTCATAGTCCCAACAAACCCGTGCAAAGACACCGCTGGCACCTGCCCCTCCTCTTCCCACCTGCAGCTCAGCACTGTGGGGCAGGCGCCATGTCAGCTTACTGGGGGTCCAGAGCCCCCCCAGGACCAGTTCTCACCCCGAGGGGACACCGGCACAAGAAGCTCTGAAGACCCCCTGGACCACCCCCCCAAACAACAGAGCTTAGTGTTTGCATGACGAGCAGCAGGGACCTGCCAGAGGATGTCCCCATCCCCACCGAGGGGGTTTTGGCCACCGTAGCATCACCAGGACGCAGGAGGCTCCACACCGCTGTCCCCTCCTCCACATGTGTGGGGACCTCCCCATCTTCGGCTCCCAAGTCCGGTCCGAGCAGCTCGGCTTCACCCTCCTGCCCAAGGTCCATCAGGATGTGGCCGCATCCAGATACAGCAGTGGCAGCTCCAAAACGCCTGCGGGGATGCCTCTGCCTGCTTCCAGTACTACTCTGACCTGCTTGCGGAGCTCCGGCACAGCTCCTGGAGGTCTGTGGAGGCAGCGGATGAGCCCCATTAGCAACCCATTCATCTAAAAAAAATGAACTATTTAAATAAATTTACAGAATCTGGTCCCTTCCCATGGTCTCTACCCCACCGGAGCAATGTTTCACCACCATCCCACAGAGTACTCACAGCGCATGATGGTGTCTCTGATCTGCCTGAAGCTGTTCTCCTTCAGTGCCATGTAGATGTAGTAGAGGTTTCGCAGCTCCTTGGGATAATCCTTCCGATCCACATCCTTCAACACCGGGATGGTGCGCCCGTTGGCCATCGGAGCTTCGGCCAACGCCTGGTGCATCTGGTACTTGCACCAAGGGTCCTGGAGGAAGCCAGGGGTGATGAGCATGACCCAGCAGTGGCTGTTTTGCACAGCGTCACACAGCTCCGTCACCACCGCGCTTCCCGGTGCCGCGTCCCGCAGCTGGAGGAAACAACGGAAGCTTTCGGGTTGACCCTCCAGGTAGGACACCAGCTCCTCCACCAGCTCCAGGTCCACCTCACTGTGGCAGATGCAGACATCATAGCTCTTGGCCCACCGGGCACTGCCCAAGGCATTGATGTCCGACACGGGTGACGAGCGGACAGACCTGGCCAGGCTCGTGCCGGGAGAAGAGCCGGAGCTCTCAGCAGAGGATGAGGAGGACGAAGGCAAAGATGAAGCAGAGCGGCTGGCGTTGAGACTGCTCTCCACTGACCTGGGCTTGGGCTTGTGTAGAAGCCGCCTAAACCAGCCTGTAGAGTCAGAGAGACTGTGGTGAGGTTTGAGGGGGCTCAGCACTCCCCCCGGGCTTCCCAAGGGGCTTGCATGGCATCGCCAGCTCAGCAGGACACCTCCAGATGGAAACTGCCAGGCAGGATCTCACCCTGACACCCCAAAAACCAGCCCAGCCTCTAAAACCTCAGCTATTGCCAAAATCCAGATGCTATTGCATCATGGCGAGTGGCCCACGGGCACCCTTGTGTTTCAGTGGGGAGGGGATAGAGCCAGAGGGTTTATCACCCCTGGCACGAACTCAGCCCAGACTCACTGGCCATAGTGGGCAGCACGCTGCTCAGCCGCCGATCACCGGCATGAAACCTCTCCTGCCAGCAGAAAAAAAGGGGGGGAAAAAAAAAAGAAATTAGGAGAGCAGCAACTGCCCTGCGGCAGGTCTCAGCCCCAGGAGCTCAGCAGGGTTTATGCCAGGGACACGCAGTTCTGGGGTACTCACCTGCCGCCCCAAAAATCACCCCCAGCAGGGTTTTCCACATCCACTACCCCAAAATTTACCAGGAAGGAGCATTTTGACCTCAAGCAGCACTGGAAGCAGTGGCTCCAGCAGCCCTCCTGCCTGCCTGCACTTCTACTGCTCATTACCAGCTCTCTTCAACAGAGATACACACCTGCAACAAGTGAGGCTGAGAGCTGACAGGCAGGAGAGACCCTCATTCCCAGCAGCAGGGAAAGGATCCTGCAGAAGGGAGAAGCAAGGATCAGTGGGGATCAACCAGCTGCTGACAAACCAGACAGCTGGGGTGATGTCCAGATCCATATGTCCTCAGTGATGCCTGCCCACCCCTTGCCAGCTCACACCAGGCCTACACCTCAGCATCATGCTCCCGGCACGGTCTGGGGTGCCCAGGAGAAGCGATGGGGCAGGGACAAGCCCCAGGAGCAAACATCGCTGCCATTTTCCACTGCTTACATCACCCCTTGGGAAATAAAACATCTCAAGTCACACTGAAGCCTTTCCCCCACCCTGAAAACAAAGCAGGACCACAGCAAATGCTGGCAAGGATCCGGCATACCCACGGAAACCACTCCCCCCAAGCAAGCCACCGGTTAGTAATAGCTAAAAGATCAAGCACGGCTTGAATGACAAGCATGGATGGTGAATGGTAGGGGGGAAAATTGGGGGATGCCTACCTGGGATGCAGGAGTAGGGCACCGGAGCAGGGAAGGGGGATGCATCAGCCCCTGGGTTCAGTGGGGAGGAAGATCTTCCGGGATTGCCTAGGTGGGAAAGGAGAGGTAGGATGCAGCATGTTCACTCTGGAACCTAATGGGAACCACAGCAAATGGTGAGACTCATCCATCCTTACAGCTTCCCCATCCGGGACCAGTTCCCAACAGAGCAGCCCCAGTGTGGAGGGGAGGACGAGGGCACCCACCAGCTTTCCCAGGGACAGAGTGGAGGACCTGCCCCGTCCCTCCACTGCCTGCTCCCCTGGCCCCACCAAGACCCCCCTACTTGCTGGCAGGTCCGGGCTCTGCCTGGGCATGCGGAAGTGCCAGCAGGGGAAGTCTGCCGTGATCTCGTGGGGCCGGGAAGCCTGCCCTCCCCGGGGGCCTCCCTCCCACATCCGCCACCAGCCAGATACCATTGCCAGGCGGGCGTCACTGCACCCAGCCCTCGCCAGTGCACGCCAGCAAGCCCAGACCCATTTCCCTCCCTGGTTTTATAACCTGACACCAGATGGGTCCATCTCTGCCGCTCCCACTTATTTTATGAGTTACATTTACCAAACGAGGCATTTTTTTCTCCCCAAAATCCACCCCCATCTCTCCTTTCCCAGGTTGCATCCCCCCTGGACCCCCCCAGCCATGCAGCACAGCTCTATCCACTGGTTTCGGAAAGGTCTCCGGCTGCACGACAACCCGGCGCTGCTGGCAGCGGCCACTGATTGCCACCACCTTCATCCCCTCTTCATCCTTGACCCATCCAGCAGCCGGGCAGGCACCAACGCCTGGCGGTTCCTCCTCGATGCCCTGCGGGACTTGGATGGGAGCCTGCGGGAAATGGGCTCCAGGTGAGTCCCGGTGCCATCCCCGAGGGATTTGGTGGGGTCTCGAGGGGATTCATGCCCACCCAGTTCCCTGGCAGGCTGTTCGTGGTGCAGGGCTGCCCAGAGGAGGTGTTCCCCCGTCTCTTCCATGCCTGGGGGACAACACGGTTGACCTTCGAGGTGGACACCGAACCCTCCGCCCGCCGGCGTGATGCCACTGTGGCCGAGCTGGCGGAACGGCATGGCGTGGAGGTGATCCAGGAGGTGTCCCACACCCTCTACGACACCAAGAGGTGGGTGCCTGGCGCTGTCCCTCGGGGTACAGGGGATCCAGACCCAGTGCCGAGTGTGTCCCTCCCTCTCCCACCTCAGAGTCCTTGCCTTGAACGATGGCAAAGCCCCCCTGACCTACAAGGGCCTGCAGAGCCTCCTGGCATCCCTCGGACCCCCAGAGAAGCCAGCCCCAACACTCACATTGGAACACCTCCAGGGTGAGCATGGGGTGGACCTGGGGTGGTAGAGCACAAAGGTGGGTCAGCGTCTCCCTCACTGTTCACCCTGGAGTGGAGTGATGGCTGTCACAGCCCCACCATACATGGCACCGCAGGCTGCCACACCCCATGCCAGGTCAGCCATGACACTGAGTACGGGGTCCCCACCTTGGAGGAGCTGGGCCAGGACCCCACCGAGGTGGGTCCTCACCTCTACCCCGGCGGGGAGACAGCAGCGCTTGCCCGGCTCAACTCACTCATGGACAGGACGGTCAGTGCTCAGCACCCATCACCATAATTTCAGGGCTGCTTCACCTCCCCCATCCCAGAACATGACCCTTGTGTGTCCCCCCCATTCAGGCCTGGCTGTGCGGCTTCAAGAAGCCCGAGACAGAGCCCACCTCGCTGAGCCCCAGCACCACAGTCCTCAGCCCCTACCTCAAATTCGGCTGCCTATCGGTCCGCACCTTCTGGTGGTGGCTGGACGAGGTCTACCAGGGGGTAAGGCAGCATTTTTGGGGTACTGGGCAGAGGTTGAGCCAGAGGGACCCTGCAGAAGGGGTGGGGGGCTGGAGAAGACAGCAGCCAGCCCAGCCAGAGGGGCTGATCCTGCCTTTGCCAGCAGCGGGAGCACTCCCAGCCCCCTGTCTCCTTGCACGGGCAGCTCCTCTGGAGGGAATTTTTCTACACCGCCGGTGCTGGCATCCCCAATTTTGACAGGATGGTCGGCAACCCCATCTGCCTGCAGGTCAACTGGGACAACAACCCCCAGCACCTCCGTGCCTGGAGAGAGGTACTTCCCTCAGTGATAGGTCCTGAGTCCTTTGACCCCCAAAAAACACACCCCTGACCCCAGCACCCCACACCAGGGCCAGACAGGCTACCCCTTCATCGACGCCATCATGACCCAGCTACGCACCGAGGGCTGGATCCACCACCTTGCTCGGCATGCCGTTGCCTGCTTCCTCACCCGCGGGGACCTTTGGATCTCCTGGGAAGAAGGGCTGAAGGTCAGAAGATCTCCCCCAACACCCACCAGTGCCCACTGGGCTCTTGGGGACCCTGTCCCCACGCCATCGTGGTGTCCCACAGGTCTTTGAGGAGCTCCTGCTGGACGCCGACTGGTCCCTCAATGCCGGCAACTGGCTGTGGCTGTCAGGCAGCGCCTTCTTCCACCGATACTTCCACATCTACTCACCCATCGCCTTCGGCAAGAAGACAGACAGGGACGGGGCATACATTCGGTAGGCGCGAAACCCAAAGCCATGTGAAACGGGAGGTGGCCTCCCTGGTGGCTTTGACCCCTTGCCGTAGAAAATACCTCCCTGTCCTCAAGGATTTCCCCGCCAAGTACATCTACGAACCGTGGAAGGCACCACAGGCTGTGCAGGAACAGGCAAGCTGCTTGGTGGGCACCCACTACCCCCAGCCCATCGTGGAGCATGGGGCGGCGAGCAAGAGGAATCTGGGGCGCATGAAGGCAGCCCGCGCCCAGAAAGGTAACAAATCCCCCAGGAGGCATCAAGCTCCCCTTGCACCCTGCCACCACTCCAGCTGCCTTCCTCTCCTCCAGGCACCAAGCGGGAACAACCAGCTGGCCCCTCAGTGGCTGAATCACAAAGGAAAAAGCGCAAGGCCGAGCAGCACTGACCCCCACAGGGACCCGCAGCCATGGGTCAGGCACCACTTGTCCGGTTTTGACCCATTTTGCTCAACTGCCTCGCATTAATCCCTTCCCCTCTCCTAGCCCAAGACTGTTGACTTTGATGCTGCCGCCACCCCAAAAACCAACTCCCCACCCGAGGACGTGCCCCAGATTGGATTGACCTCCACCCCTACCTTAGTGGTAATATAATCATTATTAAAGGGAGCAGAGTAATTAAGAAATCACAGTTTGATTCACCACATGTCTTGACCCACCAGCAGCAGCACCACATGGAAGTCTCCCAGCAGCACAACTGCGTTTTGGGTACGGTGTCACTGGGCTGGTCATCACAGGGAAGCGTGCTGCTTAGTCCATTGCCTGCAGAGAGTATGAGGAGATGGGTTGAGGCTAAGGTGAGTGCAAGGCAGGGGCAAAGCTAGCCCCCAGAAAGGCGTTCACATGAGAAAATAAGCCTGCTTTTGTCGCTAAATACACCTACCATCAACACGCTTCAATTACGGCACCAATACAAAGCGATACACAGCCACCCTGAAAGCCAGAGAACAGCTGCTCTTCCCGAAAAGCTCAAAATACACCCAAACTCCTTCACACAGATGCTTGAAAGCATTACGGCAGCCAGCTAGGGCCAAGCACTGCTCTACTACCTCACAAGGCTAGAGACGCTGCCGCACAGACACGAACCCAAGCAGCTTGTGGAAGGAACTCGCGGAAGGAAGGCCCCTGAGGGGAAACGGGGCACAGTCGCACCCACAAGCCCGCCCCCACCCGGCCTCTCACACCGCGACCTGACAGACAACCACCGCACCACCCGCCCCCGCCGCCCACAGGCGACAACTGCCAAGCGCATGCGCCCGCCGCCTTTTATAGCGTCGCGAAGCATCGCGAGAACAGAGGTGAACTCTCGCGCAAGCGCCTCTTCTCCCTCCCCCGCCGCCGCCGCCGCCGGTGGAAAAGCGATAATCCCGCCTCTTCCGCTACG